ATGTAACAGGTACTATCTATACCACTTTGCCAAGTTAATTAGCTGTCTAACTAATGTTTGCATATCTTCCATTACTCCAAACTTTAAATATGTAATAATTCTGCCCTCCCACCCTCCCCAAGTGACTAAAGCAATTCATCATCAGAGGGAGCTTTCTCCAAATGACAGTCCTTAGAACACTGTCATCATAGATTTTCATATTTTGAAAATAGCCCCTCAAATAAATTTGGGAAATGGAGTTTAATCAAAGTTAAACAGGTTCCTTTGCTGCAATTCTTAGAGCTTAGATATGAATTTTAAAGAAAATGTTATATGGAATACAGAAATGTCCAAACTTATATGATCACAGAACTCATCTTTCAAAAAGAATCACAATGGACATGATCTGTAGAAAATACCCTGCAAGCACTGCAGGAGGAGGACATTATTCTCTGAACTTTATATTCAGTGGCTATAACTACAACACCCCAAGACCACAGACAATGTGGTAAAAAGGCCAAATCTGTCTTGAATCCTGGAGATTTCATATTCCTATCATCAACATTGCTACTTCCTTATTTCACTTTATGTATTAGTTCATTTTCTGTTACTATAATAAAATATCAGAGGTTTTATAAAGAAAAGAGGTTTATTTAGTTTACTTTTGGAGGCAAAAGTCCCAACAACATGGCTCTGGGAATGGTGAGGCTCTCCTTGACTACATCATGTCATAGGGGATGGTATCATGGTGGAAATGTGTAAAAGGGAGAGATCACATGTCAAGATAGGAAACCAGAGAGCAGAGAGGAACCAGACTAACTCTTCAATAATAGTTCACTCTTGTGGAACTAACTGGGGTCCCATAAGAATTACTTAATTCTTTTCAAAGGTGATACCCATAATAACCCCAAAATTACCTTATACTAAGGCCCACTTCTTAAAGGTCCCACTATTTCCTAATACTGCCATGTAGAGAACCAAGCTTCCATACATGAATCTTTGGGAAACAAACCACATCCAAATCACAAAACTTTATATTTTTATTACTTTAAATGTTTTTTATGGAAAAAGTTCAAAATTTATATTCTTATATTTAATGCTTTCCATATTTCCAGCCTACTACTATACTTACCCTTATTAGCACTGTATTAAACATTATTCTTATTTTCTTTACTGTGACACTTCTCCTGTGATTAAAATTTTTAAAAAGTGATGCTAGATGTAGTGATACATGCCTATAATCCTAGCAACTCCAAGGCTAAGACAAGAAAATTTTAAGAATAAGGTCAGCCTGGACAACTCAGTAAGACCTTGCCTCAAAATTTTAAAAAATATTTTTTAAAAGTGGTAGAGCACTCAGGGTTCAATTCCCAGTATTGGAGGTGAGAAAGAGAAGAAAAAGAAAAAAAAAAAACTATTAAAAGTAGTGATTGATAGTGTTCCCAACAACAATGCCAAACATCTTCCTTACCTCCTGGGCACATGGTGGCCTAGTCTGTGTGGCCTTGTAACTAAAGTTCTCTTTAAGGAAGTGACGGTCTAAATGGTCTAATTTTTTTAAAAGGAACATCACTTGGTTTAGATCTCTTTTGAGCCTACATGGTGTGCCTGTAATCCAATTTTTGTGCATGCAGATGATGAAAATGTCCTAGGGATGGCAGAAAACTAAAAGATAAGGTATCTGCATGATACCTAGAGCAGAATTACTACACAAACTTGAACCACTTACCTTGAGATTATGATGATTATATTATTATTACATAAGAGATGGGGCCTAGGTATTATATGAGAGAAAAATAAACTTCTATTTTTATTGAAGGCATGGTAATTCTGAGTTTCCCTAATACAGAAATTTAACATTTTCCTTCATTAAAAAAGTGTTAATAACAGAAAATTAATATCTAAGTTTATATTATAGTTTAGAATATGGTCACATATACACTTGTTTGAAAACTTTTTTCACTTTGAGTTTGTTCCTTTTTATGTCATATAGGTAGTTATCATTTACTAGAATACGTTAATCTAAAGACTGAAAACAAAAGCTAATCATGATCATAATTATCAGCTGTTCTATTGTTCTGAGCCATATTTTTTATTTGTTTATTTTTATTTATATATGACAGCAGAATGCATTACAATTCTTATTACATATATAGAGCATAATTTTTCATATCTTGGTTGTATACATAGTATATTCACACCAATTTGTGTCTTCATACCTGTACTTTGGATAATAATGATCATCACATTCCACCATCATTAATTACTGCATGCCCCTTCCCTTTCCCTCCAACCCCTCTGCCCTATCTAGAGTTAATCTATTCCTTCCATGCTCCCTCTCTCTCTCCCACTATGAATCAGCCTCCTTGAGATTGGCTAACTTCACTTAGCATTACCTTCTCTAACTCCATCCATTTACCTGAAAATGCCATGATTTTATTATCGTTTATTGCTGAGTAATATTCCATATTTTTATGTTAAGCTACTCCATAAGCTTCTAAAGTAGGATCCTTTTGTAAGTTTATGTCTAACCACCAATAAACCTCCAAATACAGTTTCTTTTTTACTATTTTTTTTAGTTGTACATGGACATACAATATCTTTATTTATTTTAATGTGGTACTGAGGATCGAATCCAGTGCCTCACACATAGGAGTCAAACATTCTACCACTGAGTTATAGCCTAGTCCCCCAAATACAGTGTTTACCACAAATTTCTCATGGTGTGATTATGAGAAATCACAGGAATGTATCTTCAAGTATCATTTTCTATGAAATAAAATGTGCAAGAATATCTATTATTCAAAGTAAGTATATTTTTCTGGATAAAGATACAAGATGATTTAATAGTAATCACTTTAAATGCAATTTTATAGTAAAACATTCTGCTACATGATAGAAAAGCTAAGCATTTGGACATAGCTACTGAAATATGTATTTGTGAATATATCTTTGGTAAAGAGCCAAACAAAATAAAGTATGACTCATTGTCAGTAAACATTCCCCAAATGTCCTTGCATTACAATGAGTGTGCTTTTAATAATGTATTTAAAATGAATTACTATTTACATTCTTCTCAAAAGCATTAAAACCCAATCATCTATTTAGCAAAAAGGTCTTTAAAGTCAAACAAATTAATTATCCTTTACTTTCTTGTCAAAAAGTTGAGGAGCCACTTACTTATAAGCAAACAATTAGACACAGTAAGATTTTATTACCTATGTTTCTTGTAGTTGTAACTCCTAGAAGTTACTTGAAGTTGAAGGCACAAATGTCATGTTTTTATTGTACTGTTTAGAGGATAGAGAAAGAGTTACTTAATAAAAGTTTTTTTCTACACCTGAAACATTTCAAAGTTCATCTCTGATTGAGATCACAAGTGAAAAATTTACAACCAACCTGAGAGTTAAAACTGAGAAGAACTTATCTTCGAGATCATAATGACACCTGCCTTTTGCAGATGAATGACAAGTTTGAAAAGCTATTTTAATTAAAGAAGACTTCTTGAAAAAAAGAAACAATTTCTTCATGGAATCTCAAGTATTGTATAAATCAAATCAATAAGTTTTCACACCTGTCAGAAGATAGGCCTTACCAACTTTCCATTTCATACATAAAAAAACTAATGTATAAGCAAGCTAAGCAGTTCCCTTATTATCTCTATGAATCAGTGTCACAGCTGGGAATGAAAGCCAAAATTCTGAATATTGGACATTCTCAAGATGTAGGCTGATCTCATTTGGATGGATGCTGGCTGGGGGTGAGGGGAAGCCATGTTTGGGAAGTCCCCTCAAGGAACACTGTATTTCACGACCAGAGTATTTGCTGAGGAACACAAAATGCTTGCTTAAATGAGTTTCAAATGATAATGTGATCATTAAGAACCAAAATACTATAAGATATCTGCTTTCTTACTTTCATTTAAAATAAAGTGTCCTTGAATCATAGGATTTGAAAATGTGCTATAAATTTGGATCAATCTCAAATATCCAAGAAATGCACAGTTTCATTTACTATTTAGTTACATGAGCTGCCTTTGTGAAATCCTTTAGACTCCCAGTGAACCTTTAGAATGAGACTATTTGGGTCCCTCTTTCTCTATTTAGAAATCTATTTTCTGTTCTATTATCACCCTGGAACATTAAGAAGCGATCATAAGTGAAATAAAGAAGCTCCTGGCAAATTTCTTTTCCCCCCGCCCCCGCCTCTCTGTAAGTAGATAGATAGATATATCCCCACACCCCAGCAACGAACCAATGGTGACAAACTTCTAAAGACAATTCGAACCTTTAAACACCCCCCACCCCCACCTCACACACTCACACAACTTCAGCAGTGCCAATGTCCTGATGTTGCATGTAGTTGTCCTATAAACCATTCCCACGGGTCATGGCCCAGTATTTTCTGATGACCACATTCGGTGCTGTGAGGTGTTCAAACCATTACCGCATCCATCTCCCTGTGAACCATGCCCAGTGAGCTCATGCAGTAGCCTGGGTTGGGACTCTGCTTGCTGTCAAGCTTAAGGATCAATCACGAATCAGGGAACACTACTTCACACTTCTCCCCGGCCGCGTCGACAGGGCGCCTCTTGGTTAGGGCACCAAAAGGGGCACCTGGAGGAAGGTGATCGGATCCGAGAGTGCTCAGACTGGAAGCCGGGCAGGGGAGAAAACAGCGGCGGAGCCCAAGGGGATCAAAATGCCATCAGGGGCAGAAAGAGTTGGGGAAGAAGGGAACGCGAGGGTGACCCCGGTTCAGGCGGGAAAGGAGAAATAGAAAGGGGGCGCAGGAAGTGGGCGCCAAAGAAAGAAGTGAGAAATTGCGGAGGAGGAAGTCGTCCCTGGAAGAGGAGGGGCAAAGGGGAAGCAAGAATGGAGTGTTTGCACTTTCAGGAGGGAAGGGCCAAAGCCTCTCCGGACCAGGGCTGGCGGGGCCGGCGCTTGGGGAGGGGCCGTGCGGGCAGGCGGGGTGGCTGCCCGCCCTCTGGGTCCCCGTGGTCTCGGCGCAGGCGGCCCTACCTGAACCGCTCCTGTCCCGCCGTGTCCCAGAGCTGCAGCTTTATCCTTTTGCCCGGCTCGATCTCCAGCAGGCGGGAGAAGAAGTCCACGCCGACCGTGGGGTCGCAGGCAGGGGAGCGCAGCCCGGGGAAGCGGCCCTGGGTGAAGCGGTGCAAGAGGCACGACTTGCCCACGGTGGAGTCCCCGATCACGATGAGGCGGAACTGGTAAATCCAGATGGTCTCCATGGCTCACGTGCCCCACCGGCTCCGGGCCGCCCCACCCGCGCTCGGCCGGGCAAGTTCGGCGGCGGGAACTGTCCCTTCAGCACCTCCCGGGCGCCAGCCTGCCGGCTTCCAGCATATTCCTGCGGCTGTGGCCGCCGCCTGGTCCCCGCCCTCTTGGGAGGGAGAGGCGGGGCCCGGCTGGGCGGGGGCGGGGCCTCAGGCTGGGGGGCGGGGCGGGGGCTTGCGGCACGCAGTTCCCGCCCCTGACCGCTGTAAATCACTTTACTCCAAAGCTCACTGGGCGCTGACGCGAAAGTGGGAGTGGCGAAAGGACGTGACGGCAGCAACAACCAATGAGAATAAATCAAGGTCTCAACTCCGAGAGGGTCAGCCAATGAAAAGTGAGAGTGATTATCTTACGGGCGTCCCGGCGGGCTTGTCAGATTAGGGCTCTGATTTTGGAAGAGCAGGAGGCCATAGCTTTATTCTGTTCTCCTGGTTTTTCTTTAATCGATTTGTTACATTCCGCCTTTCTGAAGGTCCCGCTTGGCGTCTTTCTATTGTCTAGTCTTGTTGAGCGCCAGCTCCTAAGTGTTCTAAGGCAAAGGAGTTGAAAACATGATCAAAATAAATTTGCGGAACTACTTCTGAATGCTTCTAATAAGGACTACCCATTGCTGTTTGCCACCGTGGTCTCTTCACTGTCTTTTGAGAAAAATATCGCGTATTTCCTCCAGGTCCTTTGGGGCCCGCGACCTTGGAGAAGGAAGGGAGAAAAAAAGTGAAATGTTTAGATGCTCATAAAAGTTCCAGCTCTTCTCTATAATGGGGGTGGTGGGGGGGAGCGGGGAGTCTACAGTTAGTCTCCGATTGTTTGGTCAACCATCTAAGAAAATAAAGCAAAACTAAATTCTAGAGAGAAGTTACTACCTTCTCATGCCTTTCCTCAAATTAAATAGTAGTGAATCCAAAACGTATTCTTAAAAAGTTAAATCTAAGTTAAACGACTGTTTTTAAAAAATGAAATTATGGTGTTGCTGGTAAATGGATGAAAATGGAGAATAGGCTAAGTGGAATTAGCCAAACCCAAAGATCCTATGTTTTCTCTCATATGCGGAAGCTAGAGTAAGATAAAGAAGAAGTGGGGGAGGGAAGGATAAGATTAAATGAAGAAACAATCAAATGCAAATTAATAGGTGAAAGGGAGTCTGGTAGAAGAGGAGGAAGGGAGATCATGAACTGAAACCGATTATCACGCATGTATGAGTTTGTTGGGATGACCAACTACTATGTATAACTATAAAGTGCTAATAAAAAAATAAATAAACCTAAAAAAATGGTTTTAAAGTTCATGCTTACTGAAACAAAATTTTCAACAATTCCACTTTTTTTTTCTTAGATATATCTAACTGCTACCACTACTGTTATTTGTCCTTACTTCCTTTCTTGATTTGGAGTAAGAGGTGTTACTTTTAAGAATGCCTTGTCATTTATCTTTTTGGGCTTTCCCCTAACAATTGACCTTCATTTTATGCCTTCTATACCTCAACTCTCTGGCTCTCCATTTGTTCCTATCTCTCAGCCTATAAACGTAATACAATTATCCACAATCTTAAAACCAAGCAAAACACCTCTTCATTATGCATTTCCTTCAGATTTTTGCTTTCTCCATTAATTCTCCTTTTCACACATCAGAAAGAACCATCTATTTTCATTTCTCACCTACTAATTTGTCTTCAGTAAGTCTAGTATAACCCTAATATACTTCCTATGCCTAATATACCCATGAAACAATTGCTTTAGATAAGGTTGCTAGGAACTTCGTAATTATTAAATCCAACTCCCCACCTTCACTATCCTCACTTCCCACACCA